GTTCTTATGGAGTAATTGAAAGCTATGTATAATCAAATTAGAAGACTAAACAACAAAATGACACAAAGCCTATAAATTCAGGGTCTATTGAGAATACTAAGGAAGAATTTGGTGATGGTAATGGTGTTTCAGGATGACAGCTACTGAGCAGATTGGTGCAAAGTTGGGAACTCTGTACTTCTGTGTTTCTGGATATGCTACATATCATGCTTGGAGGACATGGGCTTGGTCTGTGGAAAATCACTGATTGTCCAGAGTTTACATCTGAGTCCAGAAAAAAAAAGTTAAGAATCTATACTACAGTATCACCATCATGGTTATTGTACATAAGTTCATAATAGTTAATCAGTATAGTGTTTCGTTATCCCTTCTGAATTAGGACATATTAAGTGGGAGTTTTGCATGACAAGGGCCATTAGAAAGGGAAGCTCGAGTTTTTGTTTTCACGTTGTTATAACATTCAAAGCAAATTCCCCCATTAATTGTGACATATGGGCCGCTGAACATGTAGTCTAACTGGTCAAGTGCGATGTTACATTGTATCATTTGATTTTGATTTTGATTTTTGTTTCTGAGTTCTTTAAGACAGTCTCATATGGATCAGTCTTCTTCCAAGTGCCATATAGTCAAGGATTGCCTCAAGCTTGTGGTCCTACCCCCTGCACCACCACTCCCAGGCCCATTATCTAGTTTATGTTACAGTTAGAGCTTCGGAAAAGAGATGAGACTGCATCAATGATTTATCTTAGATACTCTGTTGGTTTAAAAGATGAATAGGATGTCCATTTAAGCAGGGCATGTGAAAGCACAGACACAGAGGGAATTGTAGCTACAAGGTGCTGATACTGAATGCCAGACTGGTGCAGGGTATCTTCATGGTAGCTAAATGGTGCTGCTGCTACGGGGGTTCCTAACTCCTGAGGTTTTCCACTTGCCCCATTTTCTTCTCTTCCTCCCCTCCTTCCTCTTTTCCTTCTCCCCTCCCCCACTTCTCTCCACCCTCCCTTCCTCTCCTTTTCCCAGCAGTATGATTACCATTAACATTTTAAAAGGTTATTTAGTATTAAATATTTTTATTTTTCCAGTGTTACACTTTGAAAAACTTTACTTTCTTAAGCATTACACTTATTTTTCTATATTTTTAGATGTTCTTTTTTTCCCTGTGAAAATGTAAGGACTCTGTGTTTATACACTGAGATTGAAATTTAGACCAACATTTAAAGTCTTTGTTATTCAAAATGTTAATGTCTGTTACATACATCATATTATTTATATCATAATTTCAGCAGAGGAAACATAGAGTTTAGGATCCGCCTCAAATCTATTAAAAAACAAAAAGTCTTATAAGATATGATAAACATAATGAGATCTATACACCTAAAAAAGATAATCAAGAGAGCAGACACCTAAAAAAGATAATCAAGGGGTAAGATGATCAATCCTCGTTTAGAAAGACAGATAGGATGTGCATTGAACGTATCACAGGAGTCTACTGAGGGCATCTGAAAGACTCCAGCTAGCAGTGTTTTCAAAGCAGATACAAAGACTCATGACCAAACCTTCAGCAGAGTGCAGGGAATCATATGAAAGAAGGGGAGTTAGTATGATGGGGAAAGAATAGGAGCTCCACAAGGACCAAATATATCTGGGCACAGGGTCTTTTCTGAGACTGACATTCAACCAAGGACCATGTATGGATATAACCTAGAACCTCTGCTCAGATGTAGCCTGTGGTAGCTCAGTAACCAATTGGTTTCCCATAGTGAGGGGAACAAGGACTATTTCTAACAGGAACTCAATGGCTGGCTCTTTGACCTCCCCACCCCCCAAGGGAGGAGCAGTCCTGTTAGGCCACAGAGGAAGGCTTTGCAGCCAGTCCTGAAGATACCTGATAAAACAGGATCGGATGAATGGGGAGGAGGTCCCCCCCCTATCAGTGGACTTGGAAAGGGGCATGGTGGAGATAAGGGAGGGAGGGGGGGAGGGGGGGATTGGGAGGGAATGGGGGAGCGGGATACAGCTGGGATACAGAGTTAATAAAATGTAACTGATAAGAAAAAATAAAATAAAATAACCCAGAAAGTATAGATATTTTAATGTTGAAAATACATGCTTATGCTATATAAAGAAAGCTGGAACAAATATTTACAGGCCTATATTGTTGTATGAGTTTGTAATAATGAGCTAGTTTCCCATGGAACAATGGCAATTGATGAGGCTCTGAACTACTATAGTACATTCTTAAAGGACTCTCCCTGATAAAATAATAGAACTTATATCTCTTCAACCTTCCTTCCATTCTATAAGAAAAAGAAAATCATAGGCGACACTGCAACCTTTTTGCTGTAGTGATATGAGCAAACATGATTTATGCTATAAATCTTCGATATTTCTATAAATCTTCAATATTCATCCACAGGACTTTTCAGGTTTGTCATTTGTTACTAAACTTTGAACATTTTATTTTGAGTGATTTATTTTTCCTTCTAGCTTCTGATTTTTCTATATGTGGATAGTTATAAAAAAAACATGAAAAGAGTTTTTGTTTGTTTGTTTGTTCTAAGACAGAGTTACTCTATGTAGCCTTGGGCTATCTTGGACTCACTTTGTAGACCAGGCTGGCCTCAAACTCACAGAGATCTCCTTGCCTCTGCCTCCCTGAGGGCTGGGATTACAGGTGTGCACCACTGCTCCCAGCTTAGTTTATTATTTTTTAAATCATTTATTTATTTATATTTTATGTGAATTGCTGTTTTTCCTGCCTACATGTCTCTGTGAGGATGCTGGATTTCCCGGAGCTGGAGTTACAGACAGTTGTAAGCTGTCATGTGGGTGCTGGGAACTGAGCCCAGGTTCTCTGGAAGAACAGCCAGTTGTCTTAACTATTGAACTATCTATCCAGCCCCAATAATTTAATTTTTCAATAAACTGTAAAAGTATTTCTAGATTTTGCCATTCTAGTTGTGAGGTAGTGTGAGTAAAATATTTTTATGTTGATCCAGAGACTTTTAAAGCTTAGTACATCCAGTTTCTTAATCTCTGTTATTTGATTTGTAGTATCCTAGGGTTTATTAAAGTATAAATAAATAAATACCTATTTCAACTTCCATTAAACATGACTCCAAAATTATAATAGCAATAGTTTTTTCTTCTTTCTGTTGAGTGTGTTGAACATTAGCTCCTAGCATGCATACCCAAGCAGGTTTTCTTCTGGTTTTTTTGAATACTCTTACATTGAAAAAATATCAATTAATATTAATTAATTCTATGTATTTGATACAGCTGATAGTGACCAGGTACTCCAGAACTTTTATAGATATATTTTTTTAATTTTTCTCATTTTCTCATTCTAGTGTAACTACAGAATTAGGGTGAAATAAAACAGAATTAACATAGATTTTTTGAGAGAACGTGAGAAAAGGATCTTCAGTGAAGGGAGAGTTGACAGGGTGTGAGTGCGACCAGTATGCATTATATACATGTGTGAAACTGTCTAAGAACACATTTCATACAAATAATGTGTATTTGAAAATTTGACAAGACAGAAAGGTTTCAGCTGTTGGGGTTCCCCAGAGCAGGGTACTCCGCAGTTTTTGGTGGCATGAAGTTGAGGCACAAGGGGAATCTTTGCTTCAGCATGCTTACTAGCTTCTTGCATGGGGAGGTAAATGTTATTTTGGTCATTTTAACTGAATTTATAATTAAACAGTGAAGAGAATTGAAAAATGAAACATTTCAGTGGAATACATAAGTATTTGGTATTTTTTAAAGACATAGTGGAATTTTTAGGTATTGTGACATACAATTAAACATTTAAGTGTAACACAAAATAGTCATATAACTTTATGATAAACAAAACAAAGTCTATGATAATAAAAACAAAAGAGCAGTTCAGTTTTCTACATAAAACTTCCATGGGTGCAAGAAGTATGGAGATGGTTTCCATTCTCTTACTGTTCACAGACTTTATTTAGTCCTACTGGCTCCCTCACAAGTGCCTGAGTGACATTATGATGCATTCCTGTGAAAATTATTTAAAAAAAAAAAGTTTTCCTGCAGCTGTTCCACCATAACAAAGAACTTCACTGAGTGAAAAGCGAACATATTCTTCAGACAATGCCTGATCTGCTCAGGAGCCCAAACCCATAGCTGCTCAGTGACAAAACAAAGGAGAGGGATTAAATTGAAGATGCTTGTGCATGGCATCTGGTAATGTTTCCATAGGAAGGAAGTGCGAGATGATTACCTCTCAGTCTTACCATTGACCTCCAGTTGTAGAATGGGTATGCCATAAGGTCCTTTGGCTTTTTCATATGATAATCTAAACTGCAGCATTTTCCTGGCAATACAACTTTCTTGAGTCAGGGAGGGGATTGGTTTCTCCATTGTATATGAATTACAAAATCCATAATTGTTTTAGTGGGTGTATTTTTAAGCTGAATGAAAGCATATTACAATTCTTCTAAGAAGAGTTAAATGTAATGTGCTACGTATGTTCTTTATAATTTGGTATATCTGATAGAGTTTTTATGTAAGCATAGGGAATCAGAATCCTATTGTATTCTTTTGAGATATTTAAAAATAGTTTATATGTAATATTAGAGAATAAACTGTTAGAAAATATGATCAAAATATGAAGGTTACATAAAAGTTTTCTCTGATATATTTTTACAAGTGGATTACACTTCTGATAATCATTAATGTAGTTTTTATTGCTTTGTGTTTATGTTTTCACAAGATTTGCTATGTTGTGGATGTATGATATAGAAAGGTCTTGACTTTAAGAAGTTGAACTACACTGAGATCACGATTCAAAGAAATGCACCATCCCTGTGGCTCTTTCTAGTGAGCATTCCTTTCCAATTAAAGCATCAGTTTTTAGTTGTCTGTTCACTATATTTTGCTAACTTCATTTTCATTTTTCACTAATACTGAGCTTTTTTTCAGAAACTGCTGTACCTCAATTCTTTCCTCTTTATTTCTCCTATTTTCTCTGCAAGTTGCTGCACCTGTCGTTTCTGCTCGGTCTGCTGCTGACTCTGGCTCTGACTCTGCCTCTCCTGCTTTACATTCCTGTTTCTTAGTAAATGAAGGTATTCTCTCTCACTTGGTAACAACTCCCTTTCTGCCTCTGCTTTGGCCTAATAGACTTACTCTTTTTTTTTTATCTGATTTATACATCTATCTGCTTTATTTTGTATGAATTCTGAAGTTCCCATTTTGAAACTTTATTTGCTGAACTCAACGCCAGGTGCCAATTGTAAAAAAAAAAAAAAAAAAAAAAAAAAAAAAAAAAAAGTGACATTTCTCCTGCCTAGAGAAAACATGTCTGCTATCAACTTAGCATGGTGTTACAGGAGTGCAGACATGCCAATCTTGGTTGTGAAGTTTTTGTTAAAAGCACAATTTTTGTCATAGTGGTTTTTGCCATTTGATTTGTGACATTAATGATAAAAACTTATTTTACATGTCCTATCAATGTATGAGAGACAGTGTGCACAATCTCATTTGAAAAGTCTTCAGATTGATATAAGCACATAGCATGATTTACCTACCTTTTTACTATTTCTGCTTCAGGCAGAAGGACAAAAAATCTATAATTTAAGCCTTGGGATTCAGTTGGGCCAGCATATCCTTCTTGTGTAGATACACAAATGGGAAATAATTTCGGGGCTCTGAAATTAAGAATGGAATACGCAAATATTTGGTGCTTAATACTCTTTTGACATTATACCTGAAATGTAATGGAATTCACAAGTGCTATGTTATATCTGCTTTTTCTTGTATGGTTTCAACCTTTACTAGTTTGTGTAAAATGAAAAGAAGGAACTTCACAAAATCTAAAATATAACTCAAAATTACTCTGACTCTTCACCAAACCTAATGTTGCAAGGCCATCCAAACAGAGGGAAGGTTAGATTGCCTGAGAAGCACAGAGCCCCAGCTACAAGTAATACTCTCCAAAAAGAAAATATAGGAAATTAACGTGGGAATATCATTGTTTGTTTGGTTTCCCTGGCAAAGGACTATGCTAAATTTTTTTATGTAAAGGCTGAATTGGAATAATTAGAATAATATTTTTGAGCTATTTTAAAAATTAGTTATTTGTTACTTAACAGTATGCGCTAGGGTTTTGGTAAGGATCATGTGTGAAAGCTTAGCTGATAGGTAGTTGAGACTGTGTGAGATGTTAAAACATCAAAAATTACTCATTAGTGGGATATATATGTATCTACAGACATGTATATTTCCATATGTTATAAATTTAATATAAATGTATGTCCATCATTTGATTAATGTTTAATTAATTATGTTACATTTGATTAATGTAATATAATGATACATATATGTTATCAGTTGATGAGAATTTCTTTACTGAATGGATGAATCTTTAAGTAGGAGACTTGCCTCTCTTTTTAACAATTTCTGAGATCACTTTATATTTTATCATAGGGGCTTGTTATTAATTTAGAAGAATACAGTTCTTTCGAAACACAGAACTGATAGTTTGTGCTCACAGATATTACATTATAAATGATAGCAAATGCTTTCTTATCCATTCTTGATTGCCTTAAGATGCTATCCTTGGGAGAAAATGCCACAATACTGTGAACCAATAATGGCCTCATACATTATTTGAGCAGTTGAGACATTCACTGTATTTATACTATATAATATGATATTTATAATGTATAAATATTATATATGATATTATATAATATACAGTTTTGCACAGTTATAAAATAAGGCTGAAATAACTCAAAATCTATATACTAGTACAGTAGTAAATAGCATCTGTCTTTCTCATGTAATTAGATTTCATATCAAGAATCAGAAATTTGGAAGAAAATAAATTGATTTTCTTTGAGTTAGAATCACTGATGTTTAAGGCTGTGAATACTGGATTGTCAGGTTTTTAATTTTGTGGAATGTCTTTGTTGGCATTTTCTTAAAAATCGGCATTACGTTATTTCCGCTTTGATAGTGACTAAGCTTCTGATTCATTTAGTAAGAGAGGGGTCAGTAATTATCTTAATTAAAGCCCCCAACAAAAAGGGAAGACACCCCCTTTGGCTGATATGTTGGCGGCACACAGATGGCCACGCCTTGATTGATAAAACCTACGGTAGATGTCTGTGTGAATGCCCTTTTACATGGCAACAAGTTCATGTGTATGTTCTCACATGGTTTATTGCTATCCTTTCCTATCTACTAACATGTTTATTTTAGAAATGTGTTTTCTTTGGGAATGTGGCAAAACTCTGTGTGGAAAATTGTTTCTCTTGGTTTTTAAATTCTTCACAGTTCTTATAGGTCTACAAATAAATGATTGAAGGATGAAATATATTTTATGTAATCTTGTACATACTACTAGTAAACTGAACTATTTATAACAATTTCATAGGCCTTCCCTTTTTGTTTTTGATAATTGTACTAAATAAAAATTTCTATTTATTGTAGAATGTCCAGGTGTCTAAAGTATTTGTCACATGTCCCCTTTTGGTAGGATGGAGCCAGTTGGCTGCTATGCACTGTGTTATGTTGCCTGACCTGCTGGGGCTGGACAAGTTTAGGCCTCCTCTTCTGGAGATGCTAGCTCGAAGATGGCAAGATCGATGCTTAGAGGTAATGTTGATGTGATAAGGAAGATAAAAATGTTTCACAAGTTCAGTGAAATGTAAATTTTAAACAAAAGTATGTTTATCTCATTTGTCCTTATCATTTACTCATTCCATTATAGAAAATGCGAAGTCAAGATTTCCATATTTTTTTCTCTGTTTCCAGAGTAAACAGTAAATGTTCTAACTTTAATTACTTTTTAAAAATTCACTGAGTATTTCATTAAAAGTTTGCACATACTTTTTAGAATTACTTCTTAAGTGTTGGTTTCTGTAGAGATCATGTACTAACATTGCAAAGACATATAACCATCTCCCCCATGATTGCATATTCAGTACAATGTCTTCCATCAAATTTCAAGTGAGTAATCAGAGAGAGGCCAATGGAAGGTCCTATGTTATAGTAAAACAAGATAGTCTTTGGAATTAGAATAGAGCTGGATTAAATGTCAATGCCAACAATTAATTTTGTCGCCCTGGATGCTTTGCTTATTATATTTGGAGATCATTTGTAAAGTAGAGATAATAATGTAATTCTCATGAGAATACACGTGGTACTAGGTGATTTTGCTGCATGACCATCATAGGTTATATGTATGTACACTTAGTAAAATGGCCATGATGTCACTGAGGAATAATTTGATAGGTCCTGTGTATGTCTGGCCTATTGTTGAATGAAACATTTTAATACTTTAAGGTATTTGCCTTCCTGGCCCCTGTAGACTAACCTCCAAACAGAACTGAAATAGACAGGTTTGCGTTGAATAACCTTTTAATTAACTTTAAAAGACTATTAGTCATAAAGAATGTTTTACTTAGCCAGGTGCAGTGGTGCATGGCTGTAATCCCAGCCAGAGGCTGGTGGATCTCTGTGAGTTTGAGGCCAGCATAGTCTACAAGCTGAGTCCAGGGAGCCAAGGCTACACAGAGAAACCCTGTCTCCAAAAAGACAAAACAAAACCTACCAGCCAAACAAACAGTGTTTTACTCAAACTCTTTTTTAGATAAAGCTGAGTTGGCCCTTCAGTTATAAGCCCTTCAATATATAGTTAATAAGTTGGTTAAATTGATAGGTAGTTTGCTTAAACATAAACTAGCTTCTTTGAGCTCATGCCTGTGGTATTTCTGTTAAACATAACTAAAATTAAACTGCAAAATAAAAAAAAAGTTGCATGGCCAATTGAGAGAAAAATTGATATGATTTTGAAAAATGATTCCCTCTACAGAACTGAAAGAGGTTACACAGGAATCTCTTTACCTATTTTGTTTGTGTCTAGGCATATGTGAATCATGTGGATTTATAACTATTTGACTGTATAAAAGATCAATGCTTGAGGCAATGTTGTGTGACAAAGTAGAGAACAGTTATTAAAAAGTCTTTGTGAAATGTAAATTTCAAATCAAGAAATAATTTTTTGGAGACCTTTGTCATCTCTCTGGCCTGTTGACTCAAATATTATTCAGTGAATGGCTTTCACATATTTGCTGTCTCTGATCCCCTTCCCTTAGCTTCAAGCACAATTGTAGTATATAAGGAATTTGCTAGTGAAGGTTAAGTTTCTGTTGGGTATAAGGGAAAACTATTTAATACTCCTGACATCGATTTTTAACAATAATAGTTACATGGAAATTTAATAGTTGAAAATGCTGTATCATAAGAATTCTTCAGAAAATCATGTTTTATCCATAAAGGTGACTAAATGTCTGTCTATTAGCTTTAAAAATATTTTTGAATGAAAGTGTCTTTATTCATGTGTAAGAGGCCAGCATTTAATTGTTCCAAACTACTTACTTTATTTGATAGTTTTTTCATGTAAATAAGATATTTCTGTGTATCCCAATTTTATATCACTGTATTTCCTGATTTGTAGACATTACTTTACCAACTGATGTCTTTCTATTTTCGCCTTGTCTCCGTTTCTGTCAGGTGAGAGAGGCTGCTCAGGCCCTGCTTCTAGCAGAGTTGAGAAGAATTGAACAGGCAGGACGAAAGGAAACTATTGATACCTGGGCTCCTTACTTACCTCAATATATGGACCATGTTATATCACGTAAGTTTCTCACACTTTTCTGAAAAACGTGGGAGGACTATGTAGAAAAAGTACCAGACGCACAGGGTTCGTGCTTCCTCAAGTGAACAAAGGTGAGAAGGGGTCCTTAAATCCGATCTTTTCTTTTGAATTTTGGTAGTTTAGAGTATGGCAATTAAAAAAAACAAGATATAACAAATACGAAATATTCACTAATGATCTAACATTTAATGAAATTAGTCCCAATAAGAAACAGAATCCCTACCCTATTTATCCCCACCTTTTCCCTCTATTCATTGCTTCATTGGGCTTATGGGTTCCACATGGTCCATATTGGTCTTGAGTTATGATGTGTACAGACCTCTCGGGAGCTTACATTATATGAAAACTTAAAAAGCAAAGATATTGTAAAGTTACACCTGTGCACAGTGTCAAGAGAGAAAATTGGCAGGTGTTGTGACTGGCGAGTCTTCCAGATGACTATGATTTGACCAAATTGGGAAAATTGCATTTTTGGGGAACTGTGCAAATTACAACTTTTGTATTTATGCTGTTAAGTCAAATGTACTTTGGAAAAAGGTTATATTTCTTACCATATTTTTTTTCCTCTCTGATAAAAATGTATGTCCTCAGTATGTTTAAGTCTTTGTTTTTTTTTTTAAAGTTAATATTAAAATTTTATTTTGATTTATGTTAGTTACAAGCTACTTTCAGTTTTTAAATAAAGTCTTGATTAGTCTTAATTATTTTACTATAAATTTGACCTGCATTTTATGTAGTGGAACGTGGATTTAAAAAAATTGATTATTATCATTTATTACAATTTATTCAATTTGTATCCCAGCTGTGCCCCCTTCCCTCATTCCCCCCCCCACTCCCACCCTCCCTCACTCTTCTCCCCCCATGCCCCTCCCCTAGTCCACTGATAGGGGAGGTCCTCCTCCCCTTCCATCTGATCCTAGCCTATCAATTCTCATCAGGACTAGCTGCATTGTCTTCCTCTGTGGACTGGCAAGGCTACAACCCCCAGGGGGAGGTGATCAGAGAGCCTATCACTGAGTTCATGCCAGAGACAGCCCCTGCTCCTCTTTACTAGGGACTCCATTGGAGACTCAGTCTATGGGCAACATCTGAGCAGGGGTTTTAGGTCCTCTCCATGCATTGTCCTTGGTTGGGGTATCATTCTCTTCAGAGCCCCCAGGGCTCAGTTTTTATAGCTCTGTTGGTGTCCTTTTGGAGCTCCTGTCCTCTCCAGGTGTATCCCCTACTTCTTTCCTAAGATTCTTTACACTCCGCCCAAAGTTTGGCTATGAGTCTCAGCATCTGCTTCGATACCTTGATCAGTGGAGTCTTTCAGAGGCCCTCTGTGATAGGCTCCTTTCCTGCTCCCTGTTTTCTCCTGCTTCTGATATCTATCATGTTTGTCCTTCTGAATGAGGATTGAGCATCCTCCCTTGGAAACCCTGGATTTTAAACAGACTTTGTCCACTGTCAGTTTTTTGTGTAGAGAAGTGCTTACCCATAGCACACCCAATCCCATGTGCTATGAGAGCAGCACATGTACTGTTCAAGAAGCAAAATAAAAGTAAGATTGAGAAAATTCTGGAACTATTAGAGCAGCTTTGATTGCCAGATCAGCTGTGCTGCCCTGTGATGTAATTAGACACATGACCTTGGGAACTTTACCTCCATCTTTTCAGTTGAAAATCAAGATGCTAGAAGGCTTTGCAGAGTTGTAATGGAATGAGTGACCCTCGTTAAGTGTACAGGTTGGTACCTAGCTCACAGTAAGCACTATTGATTTGTTACGTAAATAAATACTGTGGTCACATATTCACATGGTAACACACCAGGGGATGACGGTTCCTAATTAAAACGTTTATCTATTCGAGTACGAGATATTTACTGAGTGAATTTCTAAAACCTTTAAAAGCCCAACAATAACAGTAATGACAACAACAACAAAAATAACAACTCCCAAATGTAGGGACTGAGCCAAGTTTTGAATTTATTCACTACTTCCTGTTTGCCATGGTGTGAACTACTTAGCTCCACCATGGCCTCCTTGTGTAACTGACTGGCATCCGGGAAGCCATAAGCTAATCAACTTTCCTTCCCCAAAGGAAAACAGCTTAGGGACCTCTAACATATGTACATCTTAGTTAAGATATTATCATTAAATTTTTTGAGAACTTTTAAATAAAAATTTTAGAGCTGGTGACTATAGTTTTGTGGTAGTGTTTATCTGTTTTGGTCCCTAGCACTCCAAAATAAAATGGAAATAAGTTAAGAACAAATAAAATAAAATAAAATAAATTTAAAGTAAGTTTTCAGAATATACAGTTAAAAAGAAAGAAAAGAAAGGTTAGAATGAAAAACCTTTAGAATATGTGAGTAAATAATGAGACATGTGCCTAATTCCTTGTGTGAGCATTAATCTCAGAAACTAGATTCTGATGATTCACTGTGTCATAATCCTTGCTGAGGAAAACATCCTTAAGGGTCTGGAGAGATGGCTCAGGTGGACCTGATATGGTGGTGTAATCCTTGTCCGGTAGGAGATACAGGAGAATCCCTGGTGCCCTAACCAAATCTGTGAGCTCCGTGTTTAGGGAGAAAGCTTGTCTGAAAAATAACATGAAGGTCTATTGAGGAAAACACCTCATGTTGTCCTCTGCCCTCCTCAACATAACAGTACTCCCATATACACCTTGTGTGTGTGTGTGTGTATGTGTGTGTGTATATATATATATATATATAATTTATGTAAATATGTATGTATTTATATATAATTTATATATATATATAATTATGTGTATGTATATATGTGTGTATATATATACACAAATAATTTTAAAAAATCTTCACAGTTGAGGCCAAACTATGAGTGAGGTATTTTACAGTAGGCTGAAGGTGAAACTATATGAGAGCAAGTCACTACAGATTCTTTAAAGAGGAAAATTGAATTATGGAAAATTATAAAAACAATCAGAAACATTTCAAGACATCTGTGTTTAGCATGAAGTCAGGCTGTCACAAAAAAGGTATGGAAACCAGATGTAAATGTGGGCAAGTAGAATGAAGAAAGTTAAGCCACGATCAGTGATTGCATATAAAGATCTAAGAAAAACATCAGAAAGTAGTACAGAGTTGCCCTTGTGACTGTTTGGAAAAAGAAATGACATTATCATTTATATCTGATGCTATTTTGTTTTCCTCATAGAAAGAAGGGAATGGCTTAGCTACAGACTATAGGCATAGTGTAGCCACCAATCATTTCCCAAAGAAATGGTAGAAATTCATTGCTGTGATACGGAGAAGAGTAACGACCATCATTATTTGAAAACTTTCTCTGTATCAGACTTTTGCTAAGTACATACAAGGTCTGTGCTTTTCAATGTAACCATTATGATAACCTGGTAAAGTAGATACTATTATTGTCTTTCCTGTATATTGTTTTCTTGAACATGAGGTAATAGGCTAAGGGGACTGAAATTTTTTCTGAAGGTCCTTCAGACACTTAAGTGACTTCTAGATTCCAAAACTCACTTTTCTTACCATGTGTTTATTCTCGGTGGCTCATGCCAAGTTCCTTAGATCTTAATTGAGGGCAGATATGTCAGAGTAAGTATTCTAGACACTGGGCTTGCCTGGAACTACTATACAGTGGTGTCTTTCCCAATCACCTTATCTTTAAGTGTAGCACAAAATGAAGCAGAAAAGTAACTGTTAGAAAATTACTCTTTGTTATTTGTTATTGTTGTTTAAATAAAGTAGTTTTCTTGTAAATAAATTTAAGCACTTCCCTTTTTGTAATTAATTCCTTTTTACTTAAGTATACTGTTTTTCTGTACTTCAAAAGTTACATGAATTCTGTTTCCTAAAATTTGAATTTTATCTCGTACTCTAATTTCGTGTGTGTGCAAGAAAAAAATAGGCATGCATTCTACTAAATGCTACTAAAACATCCCACATTATCAACTTTTGATCTTATATCTTAATCAATTCTGGAACTGTAATGCTGACTGAGTGTAAAATTAGTTTTACTTTCTTTTATTGGGAGCTTTCTGTTTTAATAAAAGAAAGTCAAGCTAAAGGAATAGGGATTCTGAACGTATTAAAGGAGAAGAAAGCATTTAACAAATGAGGAATGACCACATAGGGCTGGTGAACAGATTTGCTGTCCTAGGGGATCAAAAGGTTATGGAGGCAGCTGGTGGCCAGCCCACACCTGCTGTCCACCTGCTTGAACCAAAGTCTCCCCACCATCGTCCTCAGTGTTCACACAGACAATCATCGCTGTGAGTTGTAAAGCCTTGTTTCACAAACACAGCACCTTTCTCTGACACGAGAATCTTAGTCACGGAAATAGAGACAACGCTGGACAGTCTATCTGGAAAGTGACTACTAATCAGCAGTAATCTTGTAATGTAACCATTCTAAGTATTTAAAGATATGCAGTCATTATGTAAGCAATATCGGATGTGCCTAAGTTGTGCCTGCTTTCTGTAGTAGAGTTGTTTTTTTTTTTTTTCTTTTTAATTATTTCTGCGGAGAGCTCACGGGCTGTGATAGATAACCCTTTACCTCCGAGATCAGAATCAGCGCTCACATAGGTAGCAGCTTCTTCTCACTTCACTGTCAGGACAGGACTGGGCTAAGGATAAAATGATGCCAACCGGGCCTGTTAATAACCTCCTTGTATTTTATGTAGGTATGGTGGGTGTATAGTAGCCCAACTAAAAGCTCTTTATGGCTTTATGTGAAAGAAAGAAAAGCATAGGCCAAGGCCAGCTGCTTCTTTTGGGAGTCTTGAGAGCACTAGTAGCAGAAGATCCTTCACAGTACATTATGCAAGCAGTGAGCATGGGTTGCTTAGCCCTTCCTATTTCTGTACTTTTCTGGTAGTTTTGTTCTCCTTGTGCTATTCCCTCATCATTCATTTAAATTTTTATCTCTTAGAGATCCTGGCAGTAGACTAGCAGATTCTAGGGAAGAAAAAGCAAAGCAATCTGCCTTAA